TTTAGGTATATTGAAGTTTGGTTTTGAAGAAGCGTGATTTATAATTGATAAAACAAAAGCATCATTTTTAATCTATCTTTAAATATTATGATTAAATTTCAATACCGTGTAAATATAGAGATAAATTTTTCAGTGTTGATTTGACCAAAAAATATACAGTATGTAAAATTTATATCATTTTACAAATAAGTGTTTACTGAAAACTATAAAATGCCTTTTTAAATAAGATCATTAAGAAATCGATACTCACTACTTTCATATTTTTATGGCTACGGAAAAACTAGAGCTCAATAATATTAAATTCTATCTTATGCAAGCGATGTATTGGCATTTAGCGATTAAGAGATGGATTTAACTTTTGCATCCATCGAGAAGACATTTTGCACGAACAACGATAGTTTCATCAGATACGCATATAATCAACATCAGTTTTCGATTATCTGAAAATCTCGGAATACGAGAATTGATGATCATTGGAAAACAAAAGAATACGCCTATCCCCGAATGATGAAATCGGAAAAATAATGCATATTTGAATGTGTATTTATTAGAATCTATTTTTTTGTAATATTACTTTTTTCGAATTTGCAGTTAGCTCTTTAACACGGAATCTAGTGATAATCCAGCAGACGCTACCACAAATCCAAGGAATGGTGCCGAAGGTTTAAGAGGACGGCTAAGATATTCCGGGTGGTATTGAGTGCCGACAAAGAATGGATGACCTAAAGTGCAAGAGGGTCCTTGAGTTTCAATCATGCGATAGGCGGTATGGTTAACGAATAATAGTTAGATCAAAGAGCTACCTTGAAGTTCCATTATTTCCATTCTCTGTCCGGTCTCGTCACGACCGACGAAGCATAATCCATTTTTCTCAAAAGTTGACACGAATTTAGGGTTCACCTCGTATCGATGTCGATGACGTTCTAAAACATGCTGGGTTCCAGCAGTGACCGAATTCATGACCTCATAAAGTTTACCTTAAAAGAAACAAGCCATTTTTTCTTTTTAATTTGATAAAAGTAGCAAGAGACGAAACTAATAATAAATAGGTAGGTTGGTAGATAGATATACACGTACGAGTTGTTGACCAATCTTCTGTGCCTTCTTGGAAAATAGTCGGACGTACACCTAATCTCATTGTACCTCCAAGATGAGTTGTAGATACTTCAGGCATGTTCACTATAACGTGAACGCCATCTTCTTGGAATTCTTCCGAGTTTGCGACTGCAGGCCATCAAAGGTATCATTAGCACGCTTCAAAAATATACAAGAAAATAAAATTTTGAACTTGTGTGTACCTTCCATCCCACAAACGTTACGTGCGAATTCTATTGCGGCGATTTGTAGTCCGAGACAAATTCCTGGTACATTGAGAATGGACAATTTTTTAATTTACAAGAAGGATAACGAATAATTCATGACTAGAAATTTAGAATACCTAAATAGGGAATTTTCTTTTCCCGTGCCCATCTCGCAGCTGCAATTTTGCCTTCTATTCCTCGGTTTCCGAAGCCACCAGGAACCAAAATTCCGTTGGCCGAAGAAAGGGTTTGCATAGCTTCCCTATATTCACTGGGGTTTATTTTTTCATGTTCACTCTCCAGATGAGATGCGTCTACCCACTAAAATAAAAAATTCAATAAAATGTTATAAAGATAGGTTTATCAAAGCAAGCAAAAAAAAAACGAGCAATGAGTTGATGAAAGAAATTATCGCAATTGCCTTGAGAATTAATTTCCTTCCGCATTTTAGGCTGGAGTGCTCCAACGCTTTTTTGACAGAAAGATATGAATCTTGAAGATTAGTGTATTTTCCCACCAACACTATTGTGACAGGTTCACTAAGTCGATCATATCTAAATAAAAAAAAAATAGTGCAAAATAAGGTTCAATAATCAATCACGATATACTCCAAATTCAAAGGTGAATGAGCTGGATGCACACTCTTCAGCTAATTTCGTCCATTCTGCTAATATACTCTCCCCTCTTATTATCTGGTCTGTTGAAATATGCATGCAATCTAGGTCGAGCCTTTTTCTGAGAAAGTCCAAGACCCCTTGCTCCTTCAACAACAATGGGACATTATAGGTGGAAGGAACATCACGAACGGAAATAACCTGGCGATTATAATTACAATGAGCATTAACGATCACCGAATGGATAAAAAAACAAACCCAATTATATCCACCTGATCCCTTCCGACATGACAGAACATTGATATCTTATTTCTGACATCGGGTTCTAATGTTTTACAACAACGACATGCAATCTAAAGTTTTTTGAGCAGACGAAAATAAGAAAGATGCAATTTCATAATCGAAGAAGGTGACAGGATTGTGCTAGAGAAAAAAACTCAACCAAGTCAGGAGATAATCCTAAGGCCCTCAACTCTTTGATGGTGGTCTGGGTCGGTTTGGTCTTTTGTTCGCCAACCGGACCAGTAACCGGTACTAACGACACATGTGCCAAGGCGAAATTTTCGTGTCCTACCCGGAATTGAAATTGACGCATGGCCTCGACAAATGGAGCAGATTCTATATCGCCTACGGTTCCGCCCAACTAAAGTTTTTTATCACATTCTGGCTCATTTAAACGTCTGGCATATATGACACAACGTAATGCACACATGTAATCCTTCGGCCTACCTCGATAATGCAGACGTCAGGATTTTCACCGCTATTATCAACAGGCACCATGGAAACGCGTTCAATCCATTCTTGGATTGCATCGGTAATATGCGGGACCTATTGCATTGATTAGCGAATGGAGGTTTTTTTTTTTCACAATACACCTAACCGCATATAATTCAACTCACAACTTGAACGGTCTTGCCGAGGTAGTCTCCTCTTCGCTGATCATTCAGAAGTTGATTGAGAACGCATGAAAATCAACGGAAAATCAACACATTTATATCACAAATTATATTAACCTCTTTTTGAATAACCTGTTGGTAAATTTTTCCAGTGGTGATGTTATTGTCTCTGGTGAGTGTCACATCCAGGAAACGTTCATAGTTTCCTAGATCAAGGTCAACCTCACCACCATCATCCAACACAAACACTTCACCTAATACAAAGTTCATTGTTTTCTGTGTCAGTTTGACGCGTTTCAAACGAAAAAGCACAAGTCTTGTCACACGTTGCAAGAACCGACCGTGTTCAATGGGACTCATCGTTCCCGCGTCGATATTCATGTACGGGTCTATCTTTATTGCCGTCACCCTTAAACCGATGGTTTTCAATAACACACCCAAGGAAGAGGCAAATATGCCTTTCCCGATACCTGAAATAACACCGCCTGATACTAGTATATACTTCATTGTTTTTTTTTTTTTGGAAATACTTTTTAGCTTACGCGTATTATTGTCACGTTGATAAAAGGAGAAACTATATATCTTATACAAAAATATTGTTTATATGTATTTTTAATATTGGAACTATGGGGCCCAGTCACCGTGAAGAAAACTGGGAAAGAAAACTGATACGCAAAAAAATTTTTGTTAAATAAGGAATCAGAAAAAAATTTTTTTTTGTGGATCGTGGCGTTGCCGTGTGGCATGTGGCGACAATCGATTCCAAATTTGGTCAAATCTCCCTTTCAAGCCAATGCCAAACAACATGTCGAGTCACGTGATATTCTATATATGTGCAAGGTATAGATACGACAATGTAGCATTGACAAATTTGATCAATTTTTTAAAACAAATAAATTCAACAGGTTTGATTTCACACATTACTATATTATCACCTTCCGAATTTCAAGTTAAAAAAGAAAAAAAAACAGCATAATCTTGTGCTTTCACACGAGTCTAGGCAAACACCGCGGAAAACACACTCATAGAAAAAATAATTTATTCACAAAATCATCTCACCTCGCAGAACACCACAAAAACAATATCATAATGCATTCTTTGGCTCATCACAACAACCAACAGTTACAATTTATTCAGTTGCAACCAGTTTCGGCGTTGACTAACCCGAACTCGTTGAATGTGGGTGGTGCAACAAATCTCCACGGAATTCCCATGGGCGGTGACCCCTGGGGAGCTGGCGCAGGTGCGCCAATGAACTTACCAATACAGCATCAACAAAAGTTGGATCAAATGGAGGAGGATAAAATTTTTTCCTTGATAACCGAGTTGACAAATCCGGCGAACCGCGAATTGGCCTTGTCGGAATTGAGTAAGAAGCGGGAGCAATATGACAACTTGGCCTTGATATTATGGCATTCTTTTGGTAAGTTCACAATGAAATTAATTATGTAAACACCTTTGAATTTTGTTGATGAGGTCATTTCTAACTCTCGGGATTCCTCATGTTTAGGTGTGATGGCCGCATTGTTGCAGGAAATAGTTTCGGTGTATCCTCTTCTTTCCCCTCCCGCACTTTCAACCCAAATATCGAACCGAGTTTGCAATGCATTGGCCTTGCTGCAATGTGTCGCGAGCCATAGTGAAACCCGAGGATTGTTCCTTAGCGGTTTGATTTTTTTTTTTTTTTCGTCTGTGTTGTTTACGATCTTTATTGTCAACTCAGTTCCATATTACCTATTTCTCTTCTATACAGCTCACATTCCATTGTTTTTGTACCCATTTCTCAACACGACGAGTAAGGCAAGGCCGTTCGAATATCTCAGGTTAACTAGTCTGGGTGTCATCGGTGCCCTTGTTAAGGTGCGATGCAAATGTTCTGATTTCAGCCATCATTCAATAAATGGGTGTTATTTCAATTTAATTAAAAAAAATGCTGTTGAAATACTAGAACGACAATCCGGATGTGATTTCTTTTCTTTTGTCCACCGAAATCATACCACTCTGTCTACGTATCATGGAAACAGGCAACGAGCTATCTAAAACGGTGCGCACTCGACACTATATAAATGCATATTGTTGGTTTTCATTTCCGTTATGGATTGTTAATTATTATTTCACTTTTTTTTTAGGTGGCCATTTTTATAGTGCAAAAAATTTTGTTGGATGAAATGGGTTTGGCATATATCTGTGCGACCTATGAACGATTTTATGCTGTTGGAACTGTTTTGAGCAATATGGTTACTCAACTTGTGGAGATACAGTCGGTCCGATTGTTGAAACATGTCGTTCGATGTTATCTTCGTCTTTCGGATAATCCAAGGTAATCTTAATCGATATTATTATTATTCTTATTATTATTACCATCATCTTTTACTGATATTAACCGACGTTTCACAAAATCACTGATTCTTCTCTCTGGTCATTTTTAAAATTTTAGAGCACGTGAAGCTCTTCGTCAATGTCTACCAGAACCTCTTCGTGATGCCACATTTTCACAAGTTCTGAAAGATGACATAGTTACAAAGAGATGTTTGGCTGCTCTTCTTGTTAATCTTTCTGACAATGTTGTCACCACAAATTAAAAGTTGCATATACACCACCTTGTACTATTTTTTTTTTTTCTTTATAAATATAAATTAGTTTCTATGTTAGCCCTTCACTTCTATGTGTTAATCACATGTTCCTTCCTGTAAAAGTATGTGTTTTAATTTCACCTGACCGAGTTGTTTTCTTGAGGCATGGGACGATACCATTTGTAATACCTTTTCATATTAGATCTTTGCACATCCTTTATAGAATCAAAAAAAAAATTTATATATATATTTTTTTATTTGCATTCCTTTTATGTTTTTATTTTATTTTTTTTTCTTAATTAAAATTTGGGTGGCGGTGAACTGGTTTCCAAGGTGGTTTTTTTTTTAATTCTACTGGATTTGGAGATTTGGTTCGATAGTCATCTTTTCACTGCTGGGTCTTGGGAATATTTATGATCGATAATCTATCATTTGGGCTAATGTATGTATATTAATGGTAACCTTATAATATATTTTTTGTATGTATATAAAACTATTCTTATTAATTGTGTGTGTAGCAAAGATGTGTCATCTACTTAACGCGATAACTTGATGCATTTAATTTTGTCATGCGTATCATTGTTACCGATTTAAATTTCACTCTTCACAGGTTCGACCGTGACTGAGCGCGGGAAACAGGAGAACCTAAACAGCATCGTAGATGTGAGAACACGTCTGCTCAGAAAAAAATTGATTATATGCAACAACTGCAAACCTCCTTGATCGTTATGCTATCAGTTAAGATCATGGCTAGTCGATCTATGCCAAGGCCCCATCCGGCCCTGTAAATCACAAGTTCACGAGTTTTTTTTTTTCTTGTAAAGTGACAAAAAATTGTTTTTTTTTTTTGTTGTGAGAAACACTCACGTAGGGGGCAATCCGTATTCCAAGCTTGTACAAAATGACTCATCTATTAGCTGGGCTTCTTGATCACCTTTATCCTTGTTTCGCGCTTGTTCCTTGAATCTTTCGCGCTGATCGAATGGGTCATTTAATTCAGTATAGGCGTTTATTAATTCGTGTGATGCCACGAACAATTCAAATCGTTCGGAGAGGCCTGGTTTTTCACGATGATGTTTTGCAAGTGGGCACATTAATTGCGGGTGTCCTGTTAGAAACGTTGGTGAGATGCATTTAGGTTGGATGAGTTTGGATATGAGCTAACAATAAATGGTTGACAGCAAATTAGGAAAGGAGCGATGCGCGTACAATTGAGATAATAATAAAAACGATGCTTGCCTTGTCTAATAATCTCGAGGTGATTCTCGGTGGACTACATTTGATATTGTGTTTATCACAAATATTCTTTAAGAATTGATTTGTTGCGTCAGTATTCCATTCTTCCGAAGGAGGAAACTTCACCTCCAAAGTTTTCTCCAGACAGCTTATCACGTCGAGCCTCGGAAATGGTGGAGTAAAGTTTAGCGCTAACTCTTTACCATCTTCTGATCCGTTGGGATGATACTTGACCACCGGTGAACCTGTGATCAACATGACCAATTCTGACAGCATCTTTTCTGTCATATCCATCAAGTCGTACATGTCCGCGTACGCCATATAAAATTCGCATGACGTGAACTCGGGATTGTGCACGACGTCGATTGATTCGTTTCGGAATTGACGACCAATCTCGTAGACCCGTTCGAGACCACCGACAACAAGTTGCTTTAGATACAATTCCGGCGCAACGCGCATGAATAGATCTCGTTTGAAATCCGCATGACGAGTGACGAACGTTCTCGCGGCAGCACCACTCGCGATTGCAGTCATCATTGGAGTTTCGACCTAATGTCGTGGGGTACATTGGATGAGCAATTCTTGTTATTTCCAAGTCACAAGCGGAGTTACACAAACTCGCACCTCTAAAAACCCAAGGCCATTTAAAAATTGCCGAATGTGATTTATGATTTTCGTTCGGGTGATAAATTTTTCGCGAGTTGAGTTATTCATGATCAGATCAAGGTAACGTTGATGATAACGAGTGTTTTGATCTTTGAATCCTTGTTGTGGAGTAGGCAATTGATGAAGGCAAGGTGACAGCAACACCATATCCCTTGGATAGATTGACAGTTCACCGCTTTTAGTTCTCCCGGGGAAACCCCTGACTCCGACGATGTCACCGCGACGAATGATTTTATGAATTCGATCGAAATCACGTTCGAAATCTCTGCATGCGAAAAAAAATCATTTTTTTAATTCACTTACGAAATCACGTGAGTGAATCGGGAATTAAAACTCATTTACTGTGCTCTGGCCGTTATCTGAATTTTTGCGCCTTCACCATGCAAATCATAAAAGAACAACTTTGTCCCAGAAGAACGCCAACTGTGAACTCGGCCGGCGATCGACAGTACTTCTTGTTCTAGTCGTTGATTTGGTTCGATGTTATTGTACTCTTGGACGAATTCAGGGATGGAAAGATCAACGCGAAATTTGTGTGGATAGGGATTAGGATTGTTGTTGACGCGAAACTCATTGATTATTTTCGAGCGATTGTCAAAATAACTCTATGAATGAGGATCGAAGGTTCAGAATTTTTGTAAATGGTGCGCGTGAATGAAAATAGTAATAATGACTCACGCCGGGAGAATGTAATTGGTTTGAACTTTTTCTTAGAGAATTAATTGAAGGAGGCTACATGGTAATTATAGATTACTGTTGACAGCTGTCTCCTCTTATTTATTGGAAATCATAAATGATTTATACAAACAAACTGAAATTGTCGTCGTTCGATACTCCGTTGCGTCGTAATATTACTATCATTAAATACGTCAGCTTATACAAGTTGGATATAGACGACCGGACAAAAACGTGAAAATTACTTGCTTTCTCGACGCGTTCAGATAGCGAAGTGAAACAGGCGAATAACCTTTTTTAGCAACTAGTACTCTCGTCGTTTTTGGAAACATCACGAAAAAAAGTTGGATGATCAAAAAAATTTTTGTGCGTACTATAAAAACTTACTATAACAGGCAAGCAGATCAAAGCTCTCGTATAGAATGATCCCTTTGCTCGATAACTTTATTCTTAAAACAACCCCAGAAGGAGTTGCAATTATAACCTTGAATAGACCAAACAAAGCCAATGCCATAAATTTGCCTGTACTTAAAGTAAGATATCCGAATTACTCTTGAACCTCCTTTCCTAAAATTTAGTGACCATATTGTTCGTATGAAAAAGGAATGGCTGGCGGCGATACAATGGGCTGCAACAACCGAGGAAGTTAAGGCTACAGTTTTTACGGGAAATGGGAGATTCTTTTGTGGCGGCCTGGACTTAACCAGCTTTGCTAGCAGTGAGGAGATTTTTTTGGAAGAAAATGTACACGTATCTATTGAAATTTTCGGGTACGAAGAATTTTTACGGGCAAACTAAGATGAGACACTGTTTTCACCCTTTGTAATTCGTCTGTGTATCTAGGAAGTTGGTTGACGCGTTGATCGATTTTCCAAAACCTCTGATCGCGGCTGTTAATGGTACAATAAGCCTCACATAGTTTTTCTTTCACCCATCCATTCATTAATCTAAATGAGATTGAATAAAATGACACAGGAAATTCTGTTGGATTCGGAGTCACATTTCTCCCGCATTGCGATCTCGTGTATTCGGTTCACAATGCTGTGTTTTATACACCTTTCGTGAAAATTGGTTTGTGTCTTGATCTTTTTCAGTCGTCGATTGACCCAAATTGATGGAAATATTGACGCTGGTATTGTGAACTGATTAGCGATATGCCCTGAGGCTTGCGCTACCTACCTCCTTCCAAAGTGAGTAAATGAATGCGTGTAATGCGTTGTCAACTGATTAATCAACAGTCTATTCAATTGAAATATCATCACTTTTTCAGATGTCTTGGTAGATCAATTGCTAATGAAATGCTGGTACGGAATGTTATTGTCTGCGTTCTTCTTTTGATGTCCCCTGGTTTAAAAAAATGATCCACGTTTAAACAATAGCTCACGTGTCGTCAATTCACGGCACATGAACTGGCAAATGTGGGTTTTATAAATCGATTGGTTGAAAACGGATCTTTATTAAGTGAAGCTATCAAGAGAGCGACATCATTGGCAAAACTTTCAACTGGATCGATCACAGAAACAAAAAATTTAATCCGGATTGATGAGAGAGATCACTTGAAAAAAGTATCGAGAAGAGAGATTGAACTGTTGACTAAAAAGTAAGTGTCAACGTTTTGATCACCAGAGGATCGTTAATCTTTATCCGACGACTTTGATTTATTTATTTTTGTGTGTGGAGTAGAATGCTTTCTCAAGAATTTCTAGCAATCACCAAGGAATTCGCAGGTAACTATGATAATTCTTTTTCTGATACATTATAATTTGTAATTTGCCACATCCTCATCTCGATCACCGCAATTATCCAAACCTCCAGCTAGACGACAATCCAGTAAATTGTAATTGTTTGTACGAGCCGCTTTGGCTGCGCGACAGGAAACACATTTCCCGCATTACACTATTTATTGATCATAGAAACCGATTTTTTGATTTTCGGTTCATTTTTACAGATAAATGTAATAACAGTAATGTAAATTATATGTGCAATAAATTTCAATTATTTGCTTTTATCCACACTATTCTCCTTCATCGTAATCACATTTGAAAATAATAATTTAGTTACACATTAATAATTTAATTTAGTATTCTATTGAACAAATAATATGCACTATGTGACTTACACATTTCTTTTTTTTTTTTTTTTGATTTTTTAAACACAGTATTCTTTATTTTTTTTACACGATCGATTGTCATTTCATTCAATCCAATCTCAATTAAATCCACAAAAAATGAAATCGTTGATCAGATCATATATTCAGCCAATTTTTAATGTTTATTACTAAAAAAAAAAGAATTGCAGGGGTTTTGTGAAATCATTAATTATGGGTAATTTAATTACTTGTACACAGTATTTAATTTTAAAAATTAATACTATAATACACAAAACACAAAAATATATTTATATTTTTTTTCTAGAATTAGAAATTTAGAATAAACTAATAAATAAAATTGAGAAAATATTTTGTTGATATATTTGATTACTTTTTTTACTAAATAATATACATACTGTATATAGTGTATATATTAAGATGAGAAATATTTTTAAAAAAATCAGGATTTTGAAAATTATTAACAAACCTAAATTTATTATATAACATTATATTTAAATCTTGTATTTTGAAATTGTAAAATAATAATAATACCAATTAAAAAATATTTTTTTTAATATATATATATACATATATACTTTTTAATATTGATTATTGAAATTTTCATAATTATATTTAATTAATAATTAATTAATTATAGTCAAAAAAATTTTTATAATATATTATATTATTATTATTATTATTATTATTATTTTTTTTTTAATCATAAAAAGGCATCAGATGCAAGACTTTATTGATATATATTGATATCTGAGTTATATCAAACATCTTTATAAAATAAATCTGTAAATTAATGCTAACCTATCTACGATGCTAACTATTACTACCTTTGGCACACTTGATGTGCTTTAGATTAGTTCTAGTGCTGGATGGTTAATGCCTTTTCAGAGCTAATATACAACTTTGCCAAATTACATGAAGGCGCTGCAGCCACAATTCTCAGGTTGGCCTCCAAACTCATAACTTGGACTGGCACTTGTTGATATGTAGGTGGCATTACATGTGAAACAAGGAGAAGAAAATAGAGATGATGTGCTTTGAAAATAAGGATAGTGTTGTTGATATTGTAGGTGGCTAGTGAAAAAAACTGATCGTAATAGGAGTAAGTGGCTTGGATTATTAATGTGATAGTGTTGCTGACGGTTAAGGACTGAATAAGACATGTGGAAAGCCCAGTATTTTCATATGAATATGATAAGATTGTTGTTACTTGGATTGGAGAGATTGACGGAATTATATAAATTGTTGATGGTATTGTTGGGGCAGTATGGTGTGGGGTAGTTATTATTATTAGTGTTGTTATTGTTATAATTGAGTAAATTGTTGGGGTGGTGTGATGCAGGGTTGGTGTTGTTGTTGTTTGAAACCGGTTTGGACTTGTTTAGTTGTTGTAGTACTGTGTTGTTAGTTTGTGATTAGTTGTTGAGAAAGTGTTGATCGTTTGGAGGGGTGGAGCTGATTTTGGTTTTTGTGTTTGAAAAAAATTTTTTTGTGTATGGTGGGTTGGTGCAGTATTGTATGCCAGGAGAGAAATAGTTGATAAAGTTAAGGTTAAGTTGAAACAAGCAAGAGACCCAGAAACTTTGCTTGAGTATGATTTAAGAAGTGAATTTGTAGTGTTGAAATATGGCGAGATAAAATTAGTGAGCACTGGTGGTGAAATATAGAAGCAGACAGGTTCATAAAGGAGAACTACCACGGGCCTTTCCTCATGCAAACAAGAAAACAAGCGAGACTCCCAAACTTGCTTGGCCTTTGCCCAGAGGTCCCATCCCAATGCAACAGTAGTCCTTAAAGTCCTTATGTCCTTAGGCTTATGGCATAGATAGTATGTTAAGAGAGTGGTGAGCACTTCTTCCAGGAAGATTACCATAAAAGGAAATTTTCCAAGAATCAGTGGTGAATGAGTGAGAGTTTTTTTTTTATAATATATTATATTATATATTGTTTTAATTATTATTATTATTATTATTATTTTTGATAAATATCAGTTCTTTATTTTATGTATATACTAATATATAACTATGAGAAAGAAACTATATTTCTCATAATATATAAGTTAAATACTAGTTTATCAATGATTTATCTATCTAAATTATATTAGAAAAAAAAGTTTAAAACTAATATATTATTTAGATAGTTGTAAACAAGTTATGCAATTTATAAGAAAATAAAAAATAGTATATATTAATATTAAATAGAACTTTTTATATCATAATTTCAGTTTATATAGCTATAAGAACAAGAGGGATTAGTGTAATATATATTTTTTAATAAATACTTCAAAACTATAATTTTTAATTAACACAAATTATCAAATTTAAGAGTTTCAATAGCCAAGTGGAATACAATTTCAAAATCTTTTAATAGATATTTTAAAGGATTTGATTGGCTTAAGTTGTCGAATCTAAAAGCAAAACTGTCAAATAAAATACAACTTCTATATATGTAAGTTGTTAATACTACTTTTTTTTTTTCTATAATCAAACAAGTATTTTAAGAGTTTATTTAATTTTAATAAAGAATATATATTGGTTTAACAACTTTTATATACAAACTTTTTACATACAATACTTACATGTAAATACCTGTCTTAAATAAAACTATCTCTAGATATGATCTTGGAGATAAATAAAGTTGTTTATTCTTATATACTTGCTTTGAAGTATATAGATTTTTAAAGATTGTATTTGGTTGTAGGGTGCCCATTGCAAAGTTAACAGTATTGATATTGATGTTTAGTAATTTTTGGATTTGTTTTTCATCAAAATTTTTATTGTTTTTAAATTTTTTTTCCAATAGTATTTGCATATCATTGGTTATTTTTTTGAGTATTGTTAGGTTCTCTTTGCAGGTCCAAAGATGGTAAGTTGTTTCTAGATTTGTGTTGTATTGTGAACATAGATTGTTGGTATATATGTTTGGGGATGTTATATAAAGACGTGTTTTTGTGAAGAGAGTATTAGAGAGAATTTTAAGACAGAAGTTGTACAGTTTGGATTGGTATTATGTAATTGGAATAGATGTGTTTTTGAAAAATATTAGAGTTTGTGCAAAAGTAATAGATTAGGTTTAAAAGTTGTTTTTGCTTTTTCTGAGTAAATTATTTCTATTAGGTGTTATGTTTTATTAATTTGCTTAAAATAGTTTCTAGTTGAAGGTCGAGAATTTTTTTGTGTATTTGTTAATGTGTATTGAATAGGAAAGATGTTGATAATGTTTATTTGAAGTATAATAGTGTTAGTGGATTATGTTTTGAGTATTTTTTTGGTGGGTTTATAGAAAGATAGAGAAATTTGGAGAGTTTGCATTATATTGTGAATATTTGTGATTGTTGAGAAGTAAGAAAGCTTGTATTTTTTCCTATAATTGGATGGTGGTGATGCAAAAGTTTTGCTATTAATTTTGGAGTGTTTGAAAAAGATTATAATATCTTTTACTTTGTTAGTGAGTAGTATTATTATGATTGTATGAAGTAAAACTGGGAATGGTTGTAAATTAAAGTGTATAATAAATGATTAGTAATGTTGTACATAGTTTCAAATGACTGTTGTAGTGTTGATATTAAGTTTGAATGTTAGTAGGACTTCCAGTGGAGAGTTCTGAAAGTTAGGAAGGTCTTTGATAGTTTTCAGGGATGTGGTGAAGAAGTGTTTGTTTTTAAGTGAGTCAAGTAGATTTGAAGAAATGGTTATTTGTGAATTGTTTATGGTCATATTAGTTTGTAGAAAGTTGTAGAGATCGTTTTTTGTTATTTTTGTTTTGAGCATGTTGTTTGTGACTGATTTGGTGAATAGATTGAGACAGTTGTGTGGAATAAGTAGTTTGCATTTATGTGTGTTGAGGTAGATGTTAAGAGGATATTCATTACATTTTGATAGTATTAAAGATTTGTTAAAGTCATAATCGTTATATGTCCAGTATTTAATTAGTAAGTTGTTTTTATTTGTTTTTTGTTTTTTGCCAATGATTATATTGTTGTTAATAAGAGTCACTATCCATTTCCTTTTTTTGTTTGGTTGGACAGGGGTTGTTCCTGTTTGGTTGAATTGTAGTTGCAAGAGAGTGTTGTATCAAAAGAGGGTTTTTCCTTGAGTATTGTGTCCCAGCCTGGCTGAAATATGTTGCCAGCTTGTAATTTTGTTGTCATTGAAGTTGAGAAGCTGTTAGATATAGAATAAGTTTTTGTTAGCAAGTTGTTTGATGAATGTTTTTCAGTTTTTGTGTTGGGAAAAATAGCAGTGTATAGGGGTTATTTCTCCTGAAGGTTTGTGTTGACAGTTAGATTTTGAGCAGAATATTATTTTGTAGTGTTGAGCTAAAGAAATGGTATATGTTATAGTATTGTGTTTAATAATTTGATAGTTTTGGAAGATACAAAGAGGTTGGCAGTTAGAATTTTGAATTGCTAGGATTTCTGTTTCTTTGATTGGTTTGGTGGTAGGATTTGTTAATAAGTACTGAAGATTGAAGATGAGAACTTTGTTTTGTAGATCATTGATCAGTTTAATGTTAAAGATATATGGGTTATAAAACCATGTTTGGAGAAGTGTTTTTTCAATGTTGAATTTGTATTTAATTGTTGAATCGATTTTCCTTTGAATATTTTTGAGCATGTTTGATATAAGAAAGATTGTTTGAAGTTTGAATTATAT